TGTGGGCCATGCTCTACGCTGACGACGCGGCCATCGTCTCGCGCTCGCCGGAGAGTCTCCAGAAGATGATGTCGGTCATCGTGCGCGTGGCCGGCCTGTTCGGACTGATGGTATCGGAGCCAAAGACAGAGATCATGTGCATGCTGCCAAAAGGGATCGAGGAACGCCCGTTCACGGTCAGCGCCGCCGGCCAGACGTACAAGCAGACGGATCGGTTTGTGTACCTCGGACGTATCATCTCCGCCGACGGGAAGGCCGACCGGGAGATCACGAGCCGCAGCTGCCGAGCGTGGAAGTGCTACCGCCGGAACAGTGCTTCGATGTACGACAGGCGACGGGCCGACCGCCAGCTCAAGATCCGGCTTCTCCAGGCTGAAGTGGTGGAGACTCTCCTGTATGGGTGCGCCTCGTGGAGCCTAACAGCGGAGCACTACACGAAGCTCAATGGGACCCACCGCCAGTTCCTCACACGGTGCATCGGCTGGAGCAAGCGGAAACGCTCAGACCGCCCCCTGTCCTATGCCCAGGCCCTCATCCAGGCAGGCTGCGAGGAAACCATCGAGGCCACCGTGCGCAAACGGAGACTGTGTTTCGCGGGCTTTGTTATGCGCATGGAGGACAGCCGCCTCCCCAAGCGCATGCTGTTAGGAGCGATGGCGGGGGGCGTGGGATACCGGGGTGGGCAGGGGAGCGACTGGGTATCTCGTCTAGGAGAGTACCTCGTGGCCTTCAACATGGGAGACGAAAAGGAAGGGGGGAAATGGAAAGAGAGCGCCAAGGACTCGGAGGTGTGGTACAACAAGGTCGAGGACGTGGCGGCATGGTTCATGAGGAAATGGCACAGGCAGGAGGCGGAAGCGTCCGCGAAGCGCCAGCGCGCGCGGGAAGCAGAAGCAGAGAGTACGACCATCTCAGGACCGAAGAGAAAGAGAACCGGCGAAGCGGCGGTGGGGGGGAAGAAACGGCGAACGGGCACTGCTGTAGAAGCGAGTAGGGCGGCCGAGGCAGCACTTGTGGCGAACTATGTACCCGGCTGATGTTGTTGCGCCCGGTTTCCCTCCCTGCTGTATGCTGTACTCCTTTGTGTATGTCCTTAGTATTGCCTTCGGCCACTAGACTAGATTATGCTGTGTGTCTCTTTTTCATGACCTCCCTGCCTACTCTGCTGTGTTGGGTACCTTGATCTCGCTTTGCTGTTGCTTTTGTTTTTTGTACGTCTGGCTGTTTGCCCATCTGCCGCCTCTTTGTCCCGTTTGCTGCGTTACTCCCATGCCCTGGTGCGTAGTGCCTGGTAGTGCTGGTACGTTACCCTTTGATTTTTTCTTTGGGCGGGTGTGGGAAGCGTCCTCCTTTATTTTTGTTTTTGTTTTATTTTGATCGGTTTCCGAGGGCTCTTTTCTCGAACGGTCGGTGCGATAACTGTTCTTTACTTTCTACTCCGTATCATTTTGTTTTGTTTTTCCGAGTGGTTTGTACCCTATTTATTTTTGTTTTTGTTTTATTTTGATCGGTTTCCGAGGGCTCTTTTCTCGAACGGTCGGTGCGATAACTGTTCTTTACTTTCTACTCCGTATCATTTTGTTTTGTTTTTCCGAGTGGTTTGTACCCTATTTATTTTTGTTTTTTTGTTTTCTTGCGGCGTCGTATGTGCCGGGTTTTGAGACCACGGGCTCCCCATTTTTGTGGACTATAATAGAGCTAATGTGAGAAACAACAACAACAACAACAACAACAACAACAACAACAACAGCAGCAACAACAACAACACGCGCGTGTGGGAAGCGTCCTCCTTTTTTATTGTTTTTGTGTTATTTTTGATCGGTTTCCGAGGGCTCTTTTCTCGGGTCGGTGCGGTACCTTTTCTTGTCTTTCTGTCAATTTGTTTTATTTTTCCGAGTGGTTTGTGCCCTATTTTGGTTTTGTTTCCCCGCGGCGTCGTATGTGCCGGGTTTTGAGACCACAGGCTCCCCATTTTTGGTGTGGACGATAGAGCTAATGTGAGAAACAACAACAACATCATCAACAACAACAACACAACAAAACAAATTACAGCAGTCGTCGTTTCCGAACTGCTGTGGAGACTTTTGTCTTTTTGTTCTGCTTTGAAGTGGCAACAAAGAACACGATGATCTGTGTAGACGAGAAGCACGACGGACGAACTATTATCTCAATGCGCTCACCGTAGCGATAGATGCGCACCACTACCGCTGCACGAACAAGCAGACTGTTGTCAAACCTGACAACGACAACCTTACGACCAGTGCACCCCATTTCCGAGCATTCCCAGGAGCAACCTCTGCGTACAGCAGCAGCCGCATTTTCCGAACTGTGGAGACGTCGTATATTTTTGTGGTTTGAAGTGACAACAAAGAACACGACGATCTGTGTAACTGGCACGACGGACGAACTGTTGTCTCAATGCGCTTGCCGTCGCGATAGATGTACACTCCAACCGCTACACGAACGAGCCGCCTGTTGTCAACCCTGACTACGATAAACTTACGACCATGGCAGCACATTGCGAGCACAGCAACCGCGGCAGCAGCCGCCGCATGTGCACAACGGTCACTCCAGAATAAACGCACAATAAACACGATGTGGCGAGCAGCACGCAGGACCCTCTTTCGCTGTTCAACCGGCCGTTTCCATGGCGAGACAGGCAAGAAACAGTCGAGGCCCACTCTTGCCGGTCACAGGAGGCGGAGGCTGCTTAAACTTAGGGACGGCTCATGATTTGCGATCCCATACCGAACTATACTCGAGGCGCCACGAGATTTGAACAGTTGCTCGAGATCAGCATTTAAGACCGGGTCGGGCAAGGGGTGGGTGATGCGAATGAACGTCCCACCCACCCACTGATATCGAACGATGAGACTGAAGCTGCAGCTTCAGAACGGGGGGATGGAGGGGCAGGGGCACCGCTTCCACATTCCATCCAAACTTCTTGCTTCGAATCATGTTTTTTCTTGCTGGAACATTTTCTTGGAGGAAAGACCCACGTCCACCGGATGAGGGGGCGTTCACGTGTGAAGTAATCGAATCCGTCTCCACCTTCGACCAGGCTCAAGTAAGGCGCAAAATACCAGAGGGAAGTCTACCTTCGATTTTTGCTCGGTTGAGGTTGGAGGCATCTACCCGCAGCCATCGCATCAAATAGTCAAAACAAATCTGGCGAAGACGAACCAGCAGTTGGTGGAACCACAATTGTTTGCAGTTCGACGATAGCGTGGAAACGGGCATCGCGGAATGTGCGTCGCTGACATCCGCAGACCAAATGTTTGCCGTTGCGCCGTACTCCCACGGGGGTGTGTCGTGTGTTTGGAAAGCTATGCGTGAATCGCGGCCGGCTGTCTCTCGTCGCGCACGGCCCTTTCTCGAACCAGGTTGGTTCGTGGATCGTGGTATTTACGGGTGGTGTAATGACATGACAAGACGCAGCTTGTGCCGTGCGCACCGCGCAACGCACCTAAATGTGAGGCGCAGCGCGACAACGACTGTGCGCAGCTTGACAGTAGCGATTGCACGTAACGAGGGCAGAACAAAGTGCGTGCGAACACATGTCGCTTGGGAAGCTTTCTGCCTCGTACAACCCATACCGCAAAGCTACAGCAAAGCTGCCGCTTCATTGCCAGCACGCCACGCTATCAAACATGGGCACAGCATTTGTGCCGGAGGCACCAAATACAAGGTTGTCTGAACCCTTGTTAAATTCAGAATTGCAGCTCCCCCCCCCCTTTCCTCGCCTCTCTCATCTGCGCTTCTCAACGGAACTCAAGAGGCTCAAACTCCACACAAAGCCGCGGACAATGTCTGCACTTCAACCCAGTAGACAGGCGAGCGGAATAAGAACAGTTTTCATCGAGGTGTGCCGCCACCGGTGTCATCTTGTCGACGACAAAGGTGGGTGGTCTTGCGAGCGTCATTTCTTCTCTTAGACGATGGACCCAGCGTTGCTGGCGATACGGGGCCACAGGTCGGCGCACTCCTTAGCCACGGGGCCGTTGATCGCGGAACCTGCACAACAAACGAGAGGGGTGACGGTGAATCGAGCGGCAAGCGTAAGAGTGACGGATGCGGGGTAACGCCTGAAAAACCCAAACCTCTTTGACCAAAATGAAAAGGCACTTGCTCCATGTTCTCAGAGCGGAGCTTGTCTTGTCCATACCGCTCATTAGGAGGGGCTTGGAGACAGCTCTGAGGTCCTAGCAAGGCACGAAGACGCTGTGCCCAGTGCGATACCAGCGGCCCAAAAGGAGGCAAAAATCAGGAAAGGTACACGCCTTTCAAGATCACAGGCTCGTACATCGAAGACTAGGGTCTACAACCACAGCCGGGAAAAAACAAAACCCGGCGCGTATTTCCTCGACGGCATGAGCACGACTATATTTGGCAAATGGGCAGTCTGTCTTCATTCCATTCCCCCACCCCACAGTAACGGCGAAGCAACGAAGCCAAACGAGTCCAAACAACCCAAGCACAGCCGCTGCTGCTATTGCTGGCTGCTGCTGCTGCTTTTTCATCGCTCTAACGGGCTGACGACCTCCATAGTGTCTCCGCACAACGGAAAGGTCTTAATAGGCCGTTCTTGAAGCGAAACGGCCTTGCTGCCGTCTGACGAAAAAGACGCCAAGCTCACCCTTCATCTCTCCCTTGTTGTTGACAATAACGCCGCCATTGTCCTCGAAGTAGATGAACACACCGTCCTTCCGCCTCCAGGCCTTGCGCTGCCTCACCACAACGGCAGGCATCACTGTAGGTGGGAGGGGAGATTGACGAGAATTGGGGGCAGCCAAACGACATCATTGCCCCGTTAGAGGAAGGGGGAGCAGGGGCGCTTCTGTTTTCTGCCGTTCAACCGCGCCAATCAGCGAAAGGGGAGGCAGCGGAGACGTACGCAACAAACAACAAATGCGGAGCACACCTACGGAAACACTGATTACCTACTGTAAGCTGACGACACCACCAATGCACACCGGCGCTGCTGTATACCGCTTGGTTTGAGTGTGCGACCTTCGCCTACATCTGTTTTTTTCTCACCCTTCTTCCTGAGCTCCGGCTTTCCCTTGCGGACAGTGGCCATCACCATGTCACCGACACCTGCGGGCGTCATCCAGCAGTGTCAACAGTTAAAACAAACCGGACAAAAATGGCAACATGAGTGAGAGCCCTCCAACGGCTGTTTGTGCTGCGTGGGTGGGTTCGCCCGCCGCGAACGTGAACAGCAGTGAGCGGTGCAACAGCGATGCAGCGGGCAAGACTGACGCCCTCGCACGGTCAACCGAGTTGTGGCCTAGGTCGATGCTTGCTAACAAAAAAATAGACACGCCAAACACGTGGAAGCTTGTAGGGTATCCTAAGAAACAACCTTTTTCGTCAAGGCGGGTGTGTCGTGCATTCGTTTACGGTGTAACCGGTGCACGTGTTCACGAGTACCAAACAAGCATGGGACGAAAAAGTTTCCTTCATCTTGGGACCACTTTCACCAAACGCTTGTGGTGGCGGAGGTTCTATCCAGGAAGGCAAGCTACGCACGTCATACAAAAAAAAATCGCAAAAGGCTGAAGGCTGGAGTTCACTATTTCATGTCGGATGTGGTCGCGCGTTCATGTAGACTTCTTGCTGCTTGAGGTGTGTTCATCTTGCTCGTTGACGGCTTACTCGTACACAGCTTGTAGCTGCACGCAGAGTTTGTGGTATCTACCGATGCGGCCCGTACACCTACCGGCGGAGGGCAGGCGGTTCAGGCGACCCTTGATGCCGCACACCGAGATGATGTACAGGTTCTTGGCCCCGCTGTTGTCGCAGCAGTTCATGACCGCGGCCACGGGCAAACCGAGGGTCATGCGGTACTTGTTGCCCTGGGCACCGGCGCGCCCTGTCACGAGACAAAAAGAGGACGAGAGGGAGGGGGGATTCAACACGAAAAACAAGCAACAAACGAAATCTTGGACGCGTGCGTGTGGATCAGGTCGACTGAGAGAGCGGGGGGAAGGAGGGGGGACAAAATATATCCTAAAAAAGAATCGGGCGCGTTGGACGAGTACACACCGAAAGTGCTGAAAGAGGAGGGGATTCAAATTTTGGCCGGAGGCGACCGTCTTCAGCGTGGGTTCGACGTCGTGACCGTGTACTCAAAATACTGCTGTTGTCTCAACTCAAGTAGCGGAGATGGGCGTTTCCGTTCGCAGCACCTTACTCTTACGTCGTCGCTGAAATCTTCCTGCTCTGGGGTTCAAAGTTCACGATACTGAGTACCCTGTACAAATAGGCCATATCCAACCGGCTGTGTACTGAACTACAAGCACAATCGGAAAACATAAGACACAACCCGGGAATACTCGTGGAGACTTCCCGTCTCTACAGGTACTGTTGTAGATACCACCCCAGAGTCGTAAGTTGGAGCCCCTCAAAAAAAAGACTGGATACGGAAACGCTGAAACGAGGTTTGCAAAACAGCTGGTTCAAGATGTGCCTTGTGTTTATGTCCCATGAAACTCCATGGTACTGGCCCATCCTTCGCTCATCCTCCATCTTCCGTTGCGGCACCTTCAGTACATGCCAAAGCTACAAATCGCGTTTCGTGTGTGGTGGGCTTGCTTGCGTAACTACTCCAGCAGTAGTGTGGGGGAGGGGAAGCTGATGCTTCACATCGAGAGCATAGGTCGCCGAGCCACATGAATGACATATAAACCAAGGTAGCCAAAACGCTGAAGTAACCTCTATATTGTTCAGCTCAGAGCTGAAAGGACTGCAACAACAATGCAGCTGTGGTGGGCAATTAGGCACTCGCTGTATGTGATCCGTGGACAACATCCGAGACCCAGCAGCGTTAGGGAAAGGAAGCCGAGATAGAGATGGCATGGATTGCGACTGCCGGTTGAAATCGATACCAGCAAAAAAAAAGTCCAAGGCAATAACTTTGGCAACAGCTTCGCAAAAATACAGGTCTACCTCCTTCTACCGTCCTTGCGCGGAGCACTCGCGCGTGTGGTCGAAGCCCAGCCAAGCCCTTATCCGCCGCACACCACCCAACTTTGCTCTTCCGTGTGTTTTCCATCCGAACAGCACCCAAAGGCACAACCACAACACAGCTACGGCAGACAAACGCAAGACGGCACGCCTCGACAGCACTTACCACGCTTCGACATGATGAGAAAAGGGGTGAGCTTCGGTACTCCGACACCTAGGGAAGGGGCTGTGAGAGAGCGCGAGGCGGCACCAGCTGCGCCCAACCACCACACCACCAAAGACATCAGTACCCCCCCCCCC